CTAAAGTACAATTAAAAAGAAAGAAAGATATTTCACTTGGGACAATAAGGAAAGAAAACAGTCCAAGTTATACCATTTAAGCATTTAACATATACCTAAAAAGAAAATCCCAGGAGCTGCAGATAATACACAGCTCAATTCAAAAGTCAACTTAACTGGATTTATTCTTGGCTACAGATTTTCCATTTCACAAATACTACTGGAAATGCAACTCTCCAACAGAGCGAATATGCTCCTGAAAAGATACCCTACCATGAATGCTCTGTTGTTGCTGCAGTGGGAAGGGTTTTACAGCCTCTAGTTTGTGCGTGAAGAAGAAGGCTCTTCTCCATTTTTCACATTTCCTTTCCTCCATAGGTAGCTCTTATCTTCCCTTAGTTTTTCATATCTGATCTTATTCTTAATCTCAAATTATAACATACAGGGTTAAAAACCATCTGCTTGCTTTCCTTCTAATGGTTTGAAGTTTAATTCTTTCAACTCTATCTGTATGTGAGTTATAGAAGTTTTTGCTTTGTCAACTCCCTGGGTTGACAATGGCTTATATATTTTTGTCTTCCTATGACACCTAAATTAAATTCACAGTAGGAAATTAATAAATAATAGATGAAAACCAAAACAACAATACAAAAAGAATCCTGGTCACACCTAAGGAAAAAAAAGTAATATTTTGCATGTTTCTAAATGATATATGTATCTTCCTTAGCAAACCTCCTTACACTTACCAACTGTAAACTTTAGTTACTAAGTTGTTGATCTGTTTGTCAATTTTGTATTTTCGGTAATCTTCCAAGCCGTCTTTAATTGCGATAATTGTAAGGACAACCACCAGAGGAAGCATTGTAATTTCCTTTTGGAAGGCTTCTACCAAAGGCACCCAGTTCAGGACAACGAGAAACAGGAAATATAAATTGGCGGCTCTGCAATCCAAACAAACACAGGATGGTCAACAAATCACTTCAAAGGCTAAAGCAGGAGAGGCAAAATGCCTTAGGGTATCTACCCTCAAGTTTCTATTAGCTAGTTTTGGATGCTACAGAATACGGAAGTACCAAATCTAGTTCTCTGAATACATCTGAAACAATTTACTACTCTCTCAAACATGTGACTCTTGCACACCTTAATAAATGTTAGATATTATTTATTCAGTAATTGCAAACATTTGGGTGTGACAGTCATGAATTGTGTAACACATGCCATGAGGCAAAATAGGAAACACAATCTCCTTTTCAAAAATTCAGCAGAAAAAACTTGCGGAAAATTCAGAGTTAATGAGTTGTAGAAATAATTTTTTTTTTAAAAAAAACAGCCCTCTAACCTTCATGAGTTTATTGGTACATCTGAAAATTAGATTCAAACAAGGCTGAAAATACATATAAAAATTCTAAATTTTTCCCACCTGAGATTAATTCTTGTATTTCTGCTTTTATGCTACTCAGAACCACTTTCTCCAGGAACTTCTTCATCCTCTCTATTTCACATCTTCAAATCTATCTCCTCTTTTGGAAACCCTGGTGGCACAGTGGTTAAGAGCTACAGCTGCTAACCAAAAGGTTGGCAGTTTGAATCCATCAGACAGATACTCCTTGGAAACTGTATGGGGAAGTTCTACTCTGTCCTATAGGGTTGCTGTGAGTTGGTAGACTCGACAGCAATGGGTTTAGTTTGGTTTGGTTTGGTTAGTACTTTGTAACACTCATCACACCCACCATACTTTTTAGTTGTTTGTACACAATTTGTTTCCCTGGGTAAACTTAAAACTCCAAAAAGAAAGGAGAAACACTTATTTTTACATTTCATTCAGTGACTAAATTCATAGGAAAGCTTCAATAAATACATATTACATTGAATTATGTCATTGTGTCACCTATAACATTTTATGTATGCACTTGCTTCAGAGCTCTATTTCCCCATATTATCAAGTAAGAAAAATCCGAAATTAAAATTCAGCATGTTTTAATGGATGGAAACCCTGGTGGCATAGTGGTTAAAAGCTACGGCTGCTAACCAAAAAAGGTTGGCAGTTCAAATCCACCAGGCACTCCTTTAATAGAAAGAACACTAAAGCAAAAGTCAGAAGACCCACGGACGTAGCCCCTGGTCTGCTACTTACCACTGGCATGATATTGACTAAACCATAATCTAAGAATTCAGTTCCTAACCTAGAATATGAGAATGACAATATCTTCTCTGGTAAAGAGAAAGCATCTTAACAATTGTAGAGTACATGTGAATGCAAATTATCATCATTCCAGAAGAGACTCTTACTAGGATCACAAAGATAATGCCACAAGTTTAGGCTTAAGTAACATACAATATACAATGTCAAAATTTTATACATCAACTAGAATGACAAAGAAAATTCTAATAAAAAATAAAACAGTACCTGTGAAATTGTTCAAATAAATTTCTTGGCACAAAGTTCAGAAGTGTGTACTTTGTTGTTCGTATTTGGTTATTCACGTAGGCTCCAGAGAACTTTTCATACTCGTCCTTGAATGGCTGGAGGTGGGGAACAACAACCCGGTGCTTTCCTGCCAGTTTAGGGGTCTGAGAAGTCTTGCCGCCACAGGCAAGCAGCGAGGAATAGTTGTATGGCCTCTCATTGTCATCCCTGTTTGCACCACCGATCAGCCGTTGCCAGTGATATCTGGCCCATTGAAGAGGCTCAGTCATGTCCAAAAGGCACTGAGATCCAGGCTGTGCACGTGATCTGGGCAAACAAAAACTGTTCCCATAAGCTTCCAGAGAGCCTTAAGTAAGGATGGTAAAAATTTTAACTCTTCTTTTTTTATGTACCAAATAAATACATGACCCAATGGTTCAAGGTATAAATGTGAAAATAAAACTAGTCTTTGGAACTTCACTTTAACAAATCTTTATTAAATAAAGCATAAACTTTCCACTTCATGGCATGATCATCTAAGCAACAAGGGGCAGCACCTAAATAGCCACTCCATAACTTGAAACAAACATTTGGGATTAATGTGTGCAAGTCTCTTAGCTTCTCTGATCATCAGTTTTCTCATCTTTGAAATGGAAATAAAGCCACCCACATCAGGTTATTACTGTGAGGATTAGATAAAACACCCAGCATAAAGCCCAATATAGAGTAGCAATTAAAAAAAAAAACAAACAAAACACAGTCAATAAAACCCAGTCTGTGTAGATTACAAAAATAGGCACAAATTCTTTCCATTCCTGAATGCACACACGTTAAGAAGTGGAGTCTTTCTCCATCCATTGAATCTGGGCTTGGACACATGCCTTCCTTTGACTAATGTAACACTAGCTAACATGATACAAAAAGAGGCTTAAAAAGTGCTTGCTCACTGGGGCTTGCTCTCTCTTACTGATGTTGGGAATCCTGTGGCCACTATCGTGTGCTCAAGCCCATGTTGTCTGCTGGATAATGAGTACACATAGTCCAGTTACCTTCATTGCTCCTGTCAACATGTGTGTGAGGCCACTGACTGCCAGATGACCACTAACACGAGTGAGCCCAGCAGACACAATGTAGAACAGCGATGAACCATCCCAGCTGAGCTCAGCCCAAATTATCAACCGCCACTGGATTGTGAGCTAATATATATTGTTTTAAGCCACCAAGTTTTGGAGTAGTTTGTTACACAACAGAAGCTAACTGATGCATAGTCCCTTCCCTCATTCCCTTGTGAAGTTTTCCTTATTTGTCAAGAAATTCAGCCCTGCCTGGAATGCGAGCTCCTCGATAATAATAATAATAATAAAACTACCATTTATTGGTAGCATACTATATTCTAAGCACTTTGCAAAGAGCCTTACGTGCATTTATCTTATTTAATATTTATGTCAATCCTATCAGGGAGGTATTATTTCTACTTTACAAGAGAGGAAACTGAGGCTTAGAGATAAAGTAACTTGCTGAAAGTCATTCTGTTAGTAAGCAGCTGAGGCCTGCTTTTTGACTCAGAAGCTTCTGCTTTTAACTGTAACACTGTCTTATTTATCTCGTATCCAGAGTTACTGGCACTTAGTACATGCCCAATAAACATCTACTGAGTACGCAGGGAGCATGTCAGCAAGTGTGTGGCAGGCAAGGTTTGCAGATCTTGGTTTCTATCCTCACCTTATCAATGCCCTTGCATTTACTTATCATCTGGGCTGGGAGCTCTTAAACTTCAGTGCTTATAAGAATCATCCAGAGAAGCCAAAGGCACTTCTGAAGATTCTTATGTAGTAAATCTATGGGTGGGTTCTGATAACCCGTATTTTTAACATAACACCCCAGATGAATCTGATTCAGGTGGTCCATAGACTTTGCCTGGACAAAAAATAGCCTTGTTTAGGCACACACTAGGTTAGGAAGACAGACCTGATAAGACACAGATCCCGTTGTCCAGGACTTCAGGGTCTAAGGTGATAGGCACACGGACATATAAATGCAAGCCAGCGTGCAAAACAATGTTCAAGGAACTGAAGTAGTTTTAATGCTACTGTCTTCCCAAGCATCATTCCAAGTTTCTAACATGTCTACCAAATCTTTTTATTGAAATATTATATTCATCAGAATTTAACAGTTTACCCCTAAGGACATTAAAATGGTATCCAGCTTCCAAGGATTGGAAATCACAAATCATAACCTAGCAGCACTGGAAGAACAGGTCACATTCTAATAATTCTAGTGAATTAATATTTTTTAATAACCTACTCTTGTTAACATACTTGTTTACTGTATGTAGACCCTTAAGCAATCCAAGAAATTACAGTTACATACCACTTTATCACTGCATTTACAAAAAATAAGTTGAACCACAAAGGTGAATCTAAAAAAAAAAAAAATCAAATCTTTAAAAATTGTATGCATCTGAAGCAAAATAATAAAAATAAATAAGAGACAAAAGTCACTTTTAGTATGAAGAACACAAGAGCCTCCAAGTGTATGCATTTATGCCAGTATATTGGACCCACAACATATAACCCCTATTATCAGTGAGAGGAACTATATGTAATGTCAGTCTTACCAGTTTTACACTAATGATGGGAACTAGAAGAAAAGAAGATCTAACCCTATCAAGTGTTTCTCCTTTGTAGTTTGCTCTTTATAATATTTTTCCATAGAGAACAAAGTCAATGAACACCACCTGGCCAAAATAATGACCAATATCTTTTCAATATAATTATATTAAGTACACTTCAGAAATATATTTGAAAAACTGAGTTTTCATTTTCACATATAAAAATAGCTAGAACTTCCTTCTTAACCTGTATCAAGTAATAACAGCTTGGGTTACTAAAAAAATCAAAGTATTAAAGTAGTTCATAACATATCCAGGAACTTCTCATGGAATAAGGACATATGATAGTGCTTTATTAATGAATCAATAGATAATGTGAAATACTTAACATAAATACTAAGGACTTCTCATGCATTTCACACTATACACATTAAGTGACCATTATGACAATCTCATATATTTTTTAGAAGGTTGAAATCAGCACCATTTGATCTTATTTTTGGAAATTTTGAAAGGGAAGTTTTCATTTGCACTTAAACTTTTAATAAGACATAGGAGAATGGGTATTCCTCTAGTGCCTACAATCTAATACAACAACCTAAATTCTACTTTGATTTGTTATTTCATTATACAATTTCTTGCGAATACAAATGTCTTAGTTATCTAGCGCTGCTGTAACAGAAATACCACAAGTGGATGGCTTTAACAAACAAATATATTTCTCACAGTTTAGGAGGCTAGAAATCCGAATTCAGGGTGCCAGCTCCAGGGGTAGCCTTTCTCCCTCTGTCAGCTCTGGGGGAAGGTCCTTGTCATCAATCTTCCACTGGTCTAACAAATTCTCAGTGCAGGGACCCTGGGTCCAAAAGACGCACTCCCCTCCCAGATCTTTTTGGTAATGAGGTCCCTCTCTTCTCTGCTCGCTTCTCTCTTTTATATCTCAAAAGAGATTGACTCAAGATACAATCTAATCCTATAGATTGTGTCCTGCCTCATTAACATAACTGCTTCTAATCCTGCCTCATTAGCATCATAGAGATTAGGATTTACAACACATAGGATAATTACATCATATCACAAAATGGAGGACAACCACACACTACGGGGAATCATGGCCTAGCCAAGCTGACAGACATTTCTGGGGGACACAATGCAATCCATCACAACAAACACAGGAACAAATAATAATAAAAAAATTAAAGGTGGGAGGTGTTAACTTCTGGTAATTCATAGCATGTTTAACTAACAACCTCACCCTAGCAAAAAACACTGATTCACAGAAACAGTCAGCTTTTCACTTCACAGACTCAGTCAAAAACAGTATCTTTCCCCAAATCACCCAGTTCCTAAGAGACAATTCCATAATGTTTGGAAAGCATTTCATTGCTTAAGTATCTCTAGGTCTGTACTCCTATGCACCTTTTCAATGTCCTTCAACTAACATTAAAAACCAGTTGTCGTCAAGTTGACCCCAGCTCAAGACATCCTCATGTGTGTCAGAGTAGAACTGTGCTCCATACAGTTTTCAATGGCTTATTTTTTGGGAAGTAGATCACCAGGCCTTTCTCCAGAGGCACCTATGGGTAGACTGGAATAACCAACCTCTGGTTAGCAGCTGAGTTAACTGTCTGCACTGCCAAGGGGCTCCAAAACTGACATTTTACTCACATATTGCCTCCCCTCTTCCCCTTTTTCATTCTCAAGGAATTTTACTGAGGACAGAACTGGGGCTGGCTCACTGCCATCCTCCACATCCTCTGCCAGCTATCAACAGTCCGCTACTCTCTAGGCCAAGAAGCTTGTCATTTTCTAACAACGCTCCCTCCCTTCAGCACTGTCACCTTTTTCCTGAAAAAACGATCCTTGGGACAGAGGACTGACTTAAGCAAGACATGGAAGTTGTTTTTGCCAAGAGATTGAGGAAAAAAGATCAAGTTTGGAGGTAATTAACATGCAGTGAGAATCCATGAAAATTTCTAGTTTTGAACATAAACCCATTTATACTGGATAAGAATGACAAAGGAACTACTCTCTCACCATTGTTCAGTGGCTTTTTCACTGCCATTCAGTGAGAAATATATTCTATGATGCAACCTAGAACATACATACACACATACAGATACAGCTGAAAAAAAAGTTCTGCAAAACAATTCTTACCCTTACTACTTCCAATGCATACAAGCATTTTCTATTCTACTCTGTTCTCTCCCTTTCTTTCTCCCCCTCTCCCTCTCTTCCTCTCTCTCTTATTTTAATACTGGTCAGGATCCACTGAATTCATTTCATGGTCCATTAATGTATTTCTAAAACCAAAAACCAAACCAGTTGCCACAGAGTCAGTTCCTACTCATGGCGACCCTCAGTGTTTCAGAGTAGAATTACGCTCCATTGGGTTTTCAATGGCTGTGACCTTTTGAAAGCAGATTACCAAGTCTTTCTTATGAGGAGCCTGTGGGTGGATCTGAACTGCCAACCTATGGGTTAGTAGCCAAGAGTTTAACCATTTGTAAGACCCAGGGACTCCTAATGTATTGCTATACACAACCTAGCTGATTACAAATGACTCCATACAGAGTTGAGAGTACATATGAAATGATTCCAACTTATAGCGACCCTAAAGGACAGGATAAAATTGCCCCACAGGGTTTCCAAGACTGTAAATTTTTACCAAAGCAGACTGCCACATCTTTCTCCTGTGGAGCAGCTGGTGGGTTTGAGCTGCTGACCTTTCAGTTAGCATCTGAGTGCTTAATCACTATACCACCAGGGTTCCTCAGAGTATGTTAATACTTAGATAAGGCTCTGTTATTAATGTTGTTTCACATATATATTCAGAAAAAATTCTTTAAGATGTGAAAGTAAAGCAAATCAGAGTAAGACATATCAAATATCAAGAATCATGGTATCTTAAAGCTTAGACTTTGGAGGTTATTTAATCTGGAATTCACAAATCAGTAGTTCTTAAGCAAAATTCTATGCCGTGATGTATTTTGTTGGCCTCAGGGTTCTGGCAAATGCATTAAATTTTTTTTATATAGAACCAATATTTAAAAAAAATCAGAAAACTCACATAAAATATTGATATATAGCTTCTCTTAAAAAAAAATACTAGGCACATATTTTCACATGGTAATAAATACTTGAAGCTTTTTCACTATAGCCCCTCCCTCTAATCCTATAATTTCTAGTTCTAACTGTGTGAATGAACAGTCTGCTAACCATTTTTTGACAAATCAAATTCCTACTGCTATACAGGTTCAGGCTTGAATAATAGCTGTACCACTTATTTGCTGTGTGACCTATGTAATTAATCTCTGAGTCTCAGCTTGCTGATTAATAAATTGAGACACCATTAAGAGTCATGGGGCATGCTGTATGCCAACAATGTTAGTTCCATTCCCCACTCTCTCCGTTGGCTCTTTCTCAGGTCATGTATAAGTCAAGGTTGGGAATCTTGCGCATTGCACTGAAGTCCACACTTTAAATTGTTTGCATTCAACTTAAAGTCATGAAAGTCCAGGTAAATGTTCAGTTCAATGCACTGGTTATACTTTTAAGAAGAAACCAGTATTAAAGCAAAATGTGATACAAATAGAAAGCCCAACAATAACAAAAGACAGGCATGACATGAAATAACCTTCATACCACCTTATCTCATCCTCATTCTCCCCAACCCAACTATGTTCCTGAACAAGCTATATTCCACTTGTCCAGTGTTTCCCAAGCTCCTCTGATAAGAATCACCTGGGGAACCCTGTTAATCACACTCTCCCAGGCGCCTTCCTTAGAGATTCTGATTGAGAGGCTCTGGACTGGGGCCCGTGAATGTGTATTTTAATAAGTACATCAGATAACTTATCAGGGAAGTTGCAAATCATAGTCATACCCTGCACCTTTCTGGATGGCTGGTCAGCCATATTATCCACTCACCATACCAGCCCCTACTCATTCTCTAGACTGGTTTAGCCTGACCTAGGAGTGGGGAGATTCGGAAGGGTCCACATGGGACACTATACGCCATTTCTTGCTTTGCTCTCATTATAATCCCGAGCACGGCTCAGTTACTGTGCATGCCACTGGGTGTGTGGCAGGTGGCTTCGTTCTTCAAAGTCAGGAGGCATATCTAATTCTTCTCCATGTGTCTTTCTAGTAGCTGGCCAAAGTTAGATGACCAACAAATGTCTGTTGATCATTAAATTTTACAGAAAAGAGGTAGTTTGGAAAAAAGAAACAACTCTGGTTCCGCTTTCATGGCTCAGCCTGGCTCTCCTTCCATGAGAAATAGGAGTAACGATCTAAGTTTGAGAAAACAGAAGTAGTCCCTTTCAGCTTCAGATGCATCATTCTGACTTTCTTAATGAAACGAACTTGCTTCTCCAGGCCTGCAGAACTATTTCAGAGAAGCATTGCTTTTTCTCCTAGTGGATACAAGAAAGACCAATAAGCAGTGTGGTGGTGTTGTTGTTAGTTGCTGTTGAGTCACTCCAACTCATAGTGACCCCCTGCACACCAAAATGAAACACTGCCTAGTTCTGCACCATTCCTATCATCAGTTGCAGATCAGGCAATGTTCCATCGTGATCCATAGGGTTTTTCATTGGCTGATTTTTGGAAGCAGATTGCCAGGCCTTTCTCCTAGTTTGTCTTAGTCTGGAAACTCTGCTGATACCTGTCCAACATCATAACAACATGCAAGCCACCAGAGTGTGACAAATTGACAGATGGGTGGTGGCTGCACATGAGGGGCACTGGCCATTAATCAATCCCATGTCTCCATATGGGAGGCAAGAATTCCACCATTGAATTAATGCCTTAATTATCAGTGTAGCAGTGATTAACTGCTGACTGGAGTCAGACATGGACATCAATTCCTGGCACTTTCACTTACTAGCTAACCAGGGCTTCCAACTGGTTCACTCTGATCCAACCCCCTACTGAGAATTTGCATTTCCACTCCAGACATACTGAATGAGAATCTACATTTTAACAAGAGCCCCAGGTGACTCTTGTGCAGACATAAGAATCACCTGGGGATCTCATTAAAAATTCTTATGTATACATAAGAATTACCCGGAGATCTTGTTAAAATGTAGATTGTGATTCAGTATATCTGGGCTAAAAATGCAAGTTCTCAGCAGGGGGTCAACTCCCGAATGAAAGCCCTGCAACTAACCTTGTGCAAAGGATTGCTGTGAGGATTAAGTAAGTTCATGTTTGTCAAGTAAAGTTTAACTACTGTGATTTTTTTGTAAAATGTCCTTTTAACTAGTCTTTATTAATAAATATTCAGTTCATACTCATACCACTGATACTAATAACTATGCCCACTTATTCATCTATGCTTAATTTCTTAAATCTTAACTCATACTCAACTACCTGATCACACTTAGCTTTAGTAACTTTGGTCTTTATTTAAACAGAGAGACTGCCAGGCAACCAACTAATTTAGGAGAGCAATAACCTCTCTCACCTATTCCCAGGGGTAAATCTGGCAATCTAGTTAAGACAAAAGGTCTAATGAACAATGTAGTGTAAAGCATGTTTAGGAATTATCACAAACATCAATCATAAATCTAAGATTTAGCCCACTCCACAAAGACCTGGTTTGTAATGGCTTTATGCTGATAAAACCAAATGCTCCCATGTTTTATTTGACCTGCTGCTCTCCCACTGACGGAAATACTGCCTTAAGAATTAGCAGAATATTTTTGTTTGCTTGAATACCACAAAAAGAACCAGGTACTTAAACTT